TTTTAAACTGATATTTTTCCGTCGATAATATATTTGTTTTTATAATGTTTTGTGAGTGAAAAGTCCACAAAATATGTTTCACGATATTTATATGTTTGAAAATTGGACGTGCATGAGAGCGAATGGCACATCCATGCCGAATCCCTGTGCTGTGATCTAAACAATAAGCACTTATATATTTGATGAGATTTTTCCGGGTTTATGAGACTGTGTTCTCTGACTCGAAAGCACAAGTCTGAGATTCAGTTCTTGTGCTGAATGAAGTATCAACAGAACATGATTTCATCTCCCAGACAACGTCGGAGACAACATCAGTCTACGACCAAAGGAGAATAAGAAGCCTTCCTCATACTCACTGTTAGAAGTATTTGTTATTAAACACAGCTGGCCTTCCAGGCCGGGACAGGCGGACATTCAGATATTCTGATCAACCTCTCATCAGGACAAAGAATATATATCTCAACGACCATGCTCTAGGGAAGTTGTTAAAGATTAAAGTTCCTGGTATTGTCCAGAATTTAGCTTTTATCTTTGCGAGCAGTTACTTGCACTCCAGCAATAACGTGAAGAAAAATCTCAGGTGAAAACCTTTTGCAAAGTGTGTTCAAATGTCCTATCCTAAAGTTAAATATATGTGGTTTTGTCTGGGTATCCACGCCCAAAAGGTGAACTGCATGCAGGTCAAGATTCTTGTTTTTAGACTGGATGTTATAGCAGAGCAGCTGTACTCGTATTTACATGCTCTCTAGCTGTGATACAGGTCTTTGAATAATCCCAATCTTTCCAGCAAGTTTCATGCATTCAAAAAGCATGTTAGATACAAAAAGAAAATCATTATTGTGCAAGGTTCTGATATTCAAAGGACCCACAAACTCTTGCACAAATGGAGACAGTATGAGTTCTATTGTATATAATACGTTATCTTGTTCATGGATAGAGTAACAAGTTATTATGGACAATAAGAAAGAACATAACATCATGGTTGTCATGTCAACACAAAGATTGAAGCATCATGCAAAACTCAATTACTATGTCAAGAAAGATATAGTTAAGAAATAAACTGAGAAACATGGCTTGCAAAGTCTCAATGCCTTAGTAGTTCTCAACTTTTAAGATGTATACACTCATGCAATTTGAAATTTCTATGCTAGAACTTAAAAAACCAAAAGGGCTTTGAACAATACCAGCGCCTCATCCACTTTCGGTTCCGAAGGCTGATTTCCCATGCAAGTCTCGACATCTATATTATCAAGCCGAGCCATAATCATTAGTGCTGAAAGTCGTAAGACTATGCAAGTATGTGAACCAACTAGGAAGATGTGATTGCCCATGCCCATGATTACAAAACAAATGGGGAGATCTTGTAAATGGGTACACGCGATGGCTTTCATGACCTTTTGAACTCTTTATTTTTCCCTTTTGAATCCGAATTCTTCTTTCGATTATATTTGAATTTCTCTTGATCATATGTCATTCTAGGTGCTTGAATTGAATAAACTCCAATCTCTAAAATATGAAGAACTGTTTGGTCCATTTTTCAAAAAATTTAAAAATTATTATTCAAAAAAATTAAAATTGTCCCTATATTATCCCATATAATATTTTTAAGAAGGAAAAAAATTCAAAGTTGATCACCCTAAGATGTAAGCTGTCTGTTGAAATCGCATTCTAGCTATTGAGCATGATGTAATCATGCCACGTGGACAGGAAGTTCGAAGCATCCATGCTTAGAGTTGTGCAATGCAAATACCCCTTGAATGAATCCGACAATGGTCATCTAATGTAATTATCAGTGTAAAATTTTGTTTGGACCTACGTGGTGGAAGATAATTATAGTAAGTCGTGTAATATATAAAACACAATATGCCCCATTTGCCGAATCTTTTTCACCATTCGTAGGACTAAGAATAAATATCTCCTCGTTTTCAAGATTGATATTATATATTAATTTATATATTTGAATTCATGTTCAAAATCCAGAATACTTCCTTTTAAGATTTTAAAGGAATTGCACCGGGAATAAACTCCTTTGCTTTAGCCACAAAATTCTACATTAGTCGTTTCAAGCATGGAGATGGCATTTGGAGAGCTGCCTGTACTTACTCCTGTCCGAAAGTAGAAAGTAAAATGAAAAAAAGGATGGGACAACCCCAACAAGTCGTACATGGAAGAGTCCAAGGTGCAGCATCTCCACTTGCTTTAAAGGTTTCATGAACGCTAGAACATGCAAAGTTGGTAGAACTGTACAGAATCATTGTTTGTGCGATTAGATGCACGACTAACAACACTAAGACATGCGGCTTTGCTACACTCCCTAGAGTATGATTTCGATTCCCACTACTGAGTAGAAGAGATATACTTCATCGTTCCGATTCGATGATGTGGTGGTAGCTCGGTCATTTTGTCCTCGGTGCTACATTCAAGTTCTCCTCGCTTGCATATCGTCGTCATCATTTGCAGCAGTGTTCCAGGAATATCCAATGCAAGTTCAGAGAACAAGCATGCAAAAGCTGCTGCCGAAAACATGGGCTTCAGTGCTATGGAACATACAACTGAAGGCTTTTTTCTTCACATATCTGACCTTTTATAGCTCTTTTCGTTTTAAACAGAAGGCTATCCAGCGCAAATCAGGACCCACGTTTTCATTTTCTTGTGGGCTACATATCCTGATGTAGGATTTGCTGCCCCGAATTTTCTCCAGCCGTAGCACCTTTCTGACTCCATGCAATATCATACCTGCATGGGGATTCAAGTTACAGAACAGCGTATGCTCTCAGGGTCTGGATAATCCATTGTTTCACCACTGAACATAAAAGACTTGTTGACACGTGGTCCTTACGCTAGATCTCGCCCAGAGTGTGCATAAGAAGCAAAAGGAATGTTTGAAATGACAGAGTCATGCTACAAGCCTTGTAACTGGATACTTGGAGGGTATACGGCTTGCAGGTTCCGTATCTTCGACATAATATGTACAGAGGTGTGAATGAATTCTACGATAACAAATTCGTTATTGCATGAATTCGAGTCTCCCACATTACAAATTACTGATTTTCCCCATTTTTTTTTCAGCCCTTCTGCACTGCTTGTCAAGAGCATGTCAGAGTTAGAAATGTCCCCGAGGGAATTGGCTGGGGAGTACCTTACTATTGGGGCTGCGGATCTGCTCCTGAGATGCTTCGAGGAATCTTGTGTGGGACCCCCCAAGATCGTTTGCTGTGGTATGTTCTGGCCAGTTCCGGCCAGCTGCATTTTCTAATGGAAGATGGGGTGCGTGAGTGAACCTTTCCACACCCAATTTCTAAATCTTTCATCGTGCTCTCTGTCGATGATGCGACAAAACGTCAGACGTAAGACAGCGATCGATCAGCACGGGACCTTGCATATAGGATTTTCGACCATGTATTAGATTCGAATTACCCCCTCACCGAGGGCTAACTATGAGGGATATTCTACAAAGAGGAGAGCATTTCAAAACAGTGAAATCTGATCCAGTCCGTCGTTCATGCGGTCTTCAGATGACGAGTGACGTATAGGAGAAGTGACGATGAAGGTGACACAATAAGTCAAAGTCATTAAGAGCTCGTTTGTGGGGCCTGGGACTTGCGGTTCCATTTCATAACATGGAATTCTCAGCTTGGGCCTTGGGGAAAGAGCGCTGTATTCGAAAGTTACGTAATGACTCTGTCAGGAAAGACAGACTTGCCATTGATGAGTCTGTGAACGAGGGCTGCAGACGATTGGTTGGATCCGAGGAGTTGGTAAAAACAGGCTGGACTATGATTATGGGTGCATTCATGAGGCGACTGGCGGGCCTGGCTGCTTATTCTTTGTCGTATTTTCGGATGGCAAAATCCATTGATGACCCACTGATTTGACCTCGCTTGACCAGTTCGTCCTCCTCAACTCCGAGAACGACGTCTCACGTCAAATTCCAACACCAGAGCAATCGACACAGCCAGTACCCTCACATATCAAAACTTCCACAGATCGTGCACCTTGCATGGCATCACGCACTCACGCCACTGCCCGTGTAACCGTTAGAATGTTGACCTCCTTCCAGGTCCTATGATGGGCTTCTCATGCTCCTCTGCGGTTTTTGCGCTTCTTTTAATTCCAAGTCAACGATGTCTTGACTGTGCTCGTGTATCAGCAGCTCCACCCGGGCTCGTAGTGTGGGTAGGTCAGCAGCTTTCCTTGCTGTACAGGTCAAGGGTTCTCGGCATGCAATTTAATAAGAAGTTCGTGGGGAATTGTGATACAGTAGAGTGATTAGGCTTTCATGCAACTTCTGCGAGTTCACGAAATGAACTCACCTCACCTACTCTGGAGATGAATTCTGGAAATCTCATTCGGACGAAACTTGTTTCCTGTACAGCGTCCTAGTCCTCGGACTGCATCGCCTTAGAATCCAGCACCAACAAATTTCACAGTGAATAGGGTCCTCCAGTTGGAAAGATCCACCAGACGAAAGTTCAATCAATCAGTGAATGTTCATGTTACCCTCTGTTGAAACATGGGATCGAATCTGATTCGTATGTCGCTGAATCTCTAAATTCTATCGACATCGTTTCAAACAGCAGGTTACAATCATCAAGCATGCCAGTCTTTGGGCCTTCGTTTTATCGTCCCTGCCAGAACTACGGGGCACACGAGTTGTCAGAGCGACGAGTCACGACTTTCCATTCTCGAAGCGATTGAGATGCTCGAGAGAAAGAGTGAGTTGAATTTAATTAATGAATTGCTTTCAATGAGTACACAGATGATGGAAAACTACTCACAATCCTTTCCTCGTTCATAAAGGCAGGTCGGATTACCGACATACTCATGGACTTCAACGGAGTGGGCATGTCAAGTCCCATTAGAGTGTTAGCCTCAACTTCACGATCTCTTACATATTCATGCAAACCATTTTCTATGTCAATCTAATATGCGTATCTCTCCGGCCGTACCGATATGCGACAACACTATATCAAAAGTCATCTTGGTTTCCGTTCTGCAGGCTAACTGCCGACGAAGAGATTTAGCAACATATTCTCTGCTCCGATCAGTCACTGCCTGGTTGGTTCTGAATGGGGACACTGGATCCACTTCAACTACTAGATCCAGCTGTAAGGTAGGAAACAATCGGTCTTCCTTAGATTTATTGCGCTTGATGAGAACTCCTTCCCCATGTTCATTTCTGTAGCAAATGATGTGGCTCCGTGAGGATTCGTGGACAGAGCGTAGACTCAGTCGATTATTATCATTTTGCATTCAAGTGAAGTTCATTTATCCATCGTGCTCGTACAGAAATCCACTTGTAGATGGTCATCTTTTGTCGTCTCAAAAGAAACCATCTTCGCTGCAATTTAATGCAGATACTTTCGGTGCCGGCCGCTACAAAATTCTTCTGAAGCTCCAATAGCTCAGCTCAGCCAGCGAGATGATCATTCCTCCCCTCTGTACGTCTCTTGGAATCTCACGAAGTCGACTGCTGAAAAAATGGACGATTTGACAATTGTCGGAAGGTGCAAGAAAGTCGACGGCTCTAAAACTAGTGCTTCCAGAGCACGCACGCTGATATTCTTTCCTTCACCATCAGTATATGCTCTATGGCCTTCTTTCCTTTCCGACCTCCATGACTTCCCTACGCAAAACTAGCGAGCGACGGTGGCGATATCCAAGCCCACGGGTCCATATGGAGAAAGGCAAGCAGGCAGAAAGAACTACGATAATTATTGCGATCGTGTGACAAACGTTACGCAGTTACTGTTGTAGGTTTTGTGATGTGCACGTTACCTGTCATGAGTACCACTAACACCGACAGGATGAACAACGGAGCTGACGGTGCATTGCATAGTGTTTGAAAACTTATTTTCTTGTGTCCTCGTTTGGTCTACGGAAGCCGAGCTGAGCAACTTTGCTCGGCCAGGCATGTACCACGATGGATCAGATCGTCGATGTCATTATACCGTGGGTGAGGTCATTCATTAAGCAATTCCTATACCAGAAATCCAGGAAATAGCGTGCACCGATTTTCCTTCTCTTTATCCTCTCCAAATGTCGTTCATGACGACGACTTTCGATTCTCAGATCCAAAAAGGTATAACGAGATCCTCTCGTTTCATATACTTGGTGCGTGAGAATGCTACGGGCTGTCCTAAGCATGAACGAGCAGGTAGGCAGGCAGGCTGCAAGAAAGCCTACAGCCTGAAACTCGGCCATACGTAGAACATGTAAGGGACCGAGAATCTCAGGAGAACGACATTCGTTCGGTCTCGTGCTTTTCATGCCCTCGTCTAGTCTGAGACTCTGGGACCGCGGCGGAACATGAGCCTTTTCTCGGCATCTTAACAAAAGGGCACTGTCTGAATAGGAGTTATAGCAGCAGTGCATCGGTAGGATACTCGAAGGGGCTCAGAAAGAGATGTCGTGGAGCGAACGGAAGTAGGTCTACAGCGGGGGAGGTTTCGAAGCTGCAGACGGACATCCAGAAGGCGAGTTCGCGTGCATAAGAAGGAAAAAACTCAAAGTCTATTCGTGTTTCATGAGGCGCTAGAACTATGATGAAGAGCGTTTGTCCTCGTGCATTCACTACCCAAGAGTTGGAAAGTGCACGTAGACTGTTGGAATTCTTGCACTTTCGGCTGCTGTCACTTTCCACAACTCCTCTTTCCTCCTTTGCAAGACATTTGAACATCTGTAGTTGGTTGGCTGCGTTTTACTCACATCGCAACCGTCGTTATACGTAAAGGTCCGACAACGCCCCCAGCATTGACCCACGATCTCAAGCCTCGTGTTCATTTTACTACTGCTCAGATTATATCCTGCCCGTGGGTGGGCTTTCTTTCTATCCAGCTCGCTGGCGAACGATGGCTGGCTCGAGCCTACAGTTTGGCTTTCTGCTGCTTAGGGTTCATCGCCCGTGATTCAATCAAGCCTTGCAATTGAACATGCAACCTATAGATTCCCTTCCGTGTTGAGGCCTCAACTGCACCAGTGGTGTATCGTTGCCTTTCATCCCTTACCTCAGATTTCTTCATAATTCTTTGGCCTTAGGCTCTCATACGACTTGCAGACTAAGACGTTACAGTGCGTTGGACTTGTAAGAGTCTGCATCTATTAGGAGACTGGGGCACTCGAGTGATCTAAACCTATGAGCTCATCTGCTTCGATTCCACACAGTTGTCAAAATCACTCTTCAATGATCCTTGGACTACAAAAGTCAGATTTGCAGCAAGTCGCTACCGGCTAAAACAAGGCAAGGCAAGGCAAGGCAGAGCTCACTGCCGTGGAAAATTCAGCTCCAAGGTGGTGATAATTCAGGGAAAGAGAGATGTCAGGCCTGCAAGGTCTGGAATCCAGTAGTCAGTACTGTACAACACATAGCTCCATAGATTTCCCAGTGGCGTAAACAGTCCACTTCAGTTGAATTCTGGAATGGAATCCCTTTAGGCCTTGACAGCCTTCTGTCTTTGTCCTGAGCCTCGATTCTAGCTCGAGACATGTGCATCCTGCACAACAGAAGGAGGCACACACTTAGCAAAAGCTAGCATGCTTTCTCTGTTATAGGACGATACTTTTCTTATTATTAAGGTGCCACTAAGCCATGCTGGACCCATGTGATGCACACACTATATCAGCAAACTGAGTCCAGCGGGAAAGAACGATGGCGATGGCGATTCATTTCCACGTGGATATACCCGTCGCCATCTCCCACATGCACACCAAGCTCTTCGGGCCTACCAACTTTTCAATACATTCATACCTGCGCTGACCTACGCTTCCCTCCCTCCCTCTCCGAGAGTTCGCTGGTTACCGTGAGACCCACAAAGGCTTGACTTAGTGGGCTCGCATACCAAAATGAATATGTCTAGTGTAGGCGCCAAGGACTCGCGAGATCATGGCATAAAAGATCAGCGATTTTGCGAGAACGAGGAAGAAGTAGATGCATCTCTTGTTTCAAAACCATTCTCTGATAATAATGACCGAAAATCCTCACGTGCATAGAGTGAAGATCCGGCCCCAATTCCCCTGTTGATTCTTCGAAGTTGACATAACAAGAGTAACGATGAAAGTACTTTCTCGGCGTACGGACGGAAGTAAGGAAGCAAGCAAAGGCCTTGGACCAGTTGCTTGACAGATCAAACCGTCGTAGTAGACTTTGATTCACGAGTCCGCCACAAAAGTTCCTGATTTCCAGCTCGGTACCTCGATCTTATAGTCCAATCAATCAAGAATAACTTCTTCGCACATTCTTGGATGTGCCTCGAGACCCAGACCGCCGTGGCAATCAGTCTTCTGAATTCAGATGATGATTCTGATTCTAATTCTATGGGCCTTGGTTCCAGCGTTATTCATGACGACCAGCAAAAGGTCAACAGATATTCCTTCGCTCATCCACCGCACAGCCGCGGACGTAGACCACGAGCCCTCCCTCGGCTTCTTTTCTCCAAAAGGCTCCCAGAAAGCTACAAAAAGTTTCGTAGGTCCGCTGGCAGGACTCCGAGCTCGGGAAATGCCAGACGTATACCTTGCTTTCTCGGGCCATGGTTTCCTCGTCAATCTCGACAGCCGTCGTCCGACGCCAAAACCGGAGAATCTAGAGTCGTGCCGGTTTTTCAAGCGCGTGTGGTGTAGTGCAGTGAATTGCGCTTCGATCATTTCCGTAATGTGCAATCGTCGCCGTCGTCATCGGCGATATACATATTTTGGATGCCGTTAGCAGGTGGTATGAATTTCACTAGTAGTGAGTTCATGCCATAGTTTAGGCTCGTCACGGGGATGTTTGTTATCGCCATTCGCCTCCAAGATGCAATACTTGAGTTACAACTTTTGAGAGAGGGAGGGAAATTCGCCTATGAGAGGACTACAGCCATAACTGTTGATACTCTTACTCCTATAATGTTGGAGAACATACCCAGACACTCCCATAGTGTAGGAGGAGTCACCAAGGCCACTTGGCACAATAGTTTGAGATAAGCATGCACTTTAGTTGTAGGTTTAGTAAATTAACTTAGGTCACTTGCCGCGCGGTAAGCACGCGAACCTCTGCGTTCTTTGTTCCGAACATGTATTTAAGCAACCTCTATTCAATTTAACAAATATCTGAGTGAAGTGATTGCTTTATAACACGATTCTCTACATGTTATTAGAGCCCGGCAGGAATGACTTGAGCCGATTTGACTATCGCAAGATAGCTAGTGAGATCAGCGGTTGCATAATAGATCAAAGCTCGAGGAGGTTAGAGCAGTACGAGTGCGATATCATATCAACGCGCCACTATGGCACTCCGTGAAGTCTCCATTGGAGAATCATCCAAGTTAGAAGGAAACAACAATTACAGTGTCTGGAGCTTTAAGCTACGTAACATGCTCTGTAGGAACGAAACGTGGAAGCTTAGCGAGCCATCATCGGGCACTGTAACACCAACCGATGCTGCCGAACTCACCGCTTTGCAGACACACAAGAGCAAAGCACTCACGATGATCGCGTTATCAGTCAGAGATACCGTGAAACCATACATTGCGAATATCACAGAACCTGACGTATGTTGGGCAACACTGAAGGCATTGTACGCAAGCAGCTTTAACTACCGCAAACTCTTGCTGCGGCAGAAGCTCACTAGCCTTAAGCTAGAAGAGGGAGGGTCCATGTCCAGGTTTCTACAACATCTCAAAGAACTCATCAATGAGCTTGCCTGTGCACGGAAACAATAGCAGATGAATAAATTGTTGAACACGTACTCATAGCACTGTCCGAAAGCTACGAAGGGCTGGTCAACATCATCACGTATCTGCCAACTCTCCAAAGCGTTGCTGAACTTACCGTCATCCTCCTCCAAGACGAGATACGAAGAGAAATCAAGGGTAAAAAACAAAGTGATTCAGAGGCCCTGTTCGTCAAATCGAAGAACTTCATGAGGCAAAAAACAACATCTGGAGTAGACATCCTCAACAAGGGAAAGAAGATCTCCAGCGCATGTCACTGCTGCGGATAGACAAGTCATTGGATGTGCAACTGCCCCGAGCTCGCAACTGAACTCAAGAAGCGTCGGACCGATCGGAGAGAAAAGACAACTATCAACCTCGTCGACAAGTTTGAAAGCAGTGAGGACGATGACACTCTAGGTTGGGACTGTGAATTGGTAGTGAACTTGACTGAACTGAATCTCACTGAGCAATGCAACAATCAGGCCGAATGGTACGTAAACAATGGCGCGTCCAAGCATGTTATTGGACGCAAAAAGCTGCTCAGTGAAATAGATTTAGGAAGCAGTTCAAAAATTAGCACTTCCGGAGTAGAAACCTTGAATGTTGTTGGAAAGGGCAAAGCAAAAATTCCCATCCAATCACGACGAATAAAGTTTGACAATGTTCTTTACGTTCTGTAAGACCAGGTGTTGCACATATGTACTAAGTTTTAGAAGTGGTCAAGTGATTAAGGATGATTAGCCAAGGCATAGCTAAGACTAGCTAGTTATGACTAAACTAGTTAGTTATAACTAAGTTTATCTAGTCATGACTAAGTTTAGCTACAATGTCTATAGTTGGCGGAATAATTAGTGGAATTCTAGAAGAATGGACTGAGCACTTCTATTTTGTCTTTTACAAGGAGTGAGCACTTCTATTTTGTCTTATACAAAAGTTCTAGATTCCAAGTGATTAGATATTTGACTAGAAGCTTGGATTTGATTGGTTTGACTAAATGTATGAAAGATGATTGGCTAGACTAAGTCTAATGTTGACTTAGTGGCTAGGAAGCTTGTAGAAGTTTAAAAGCTTCCAATGGCATGTCGCCACCTCAACCTTGGATTCCAGAAGCTTGTAGAAAGTTTAGGTATGCCAATGGCATGTTGCCACGTAGAGAAGGTTAGTCAAACTTACCTAGGTAAAAGTAAGTTAGGAGAAATTACCACATGTTACTATGGTAACTTCTCAAGTAGTATAAATAGAGAGGTAGAGTAGCACCTCTCAAGCAAGTTTGGAGAGTCATGTGTGAGGACTTGTTTCAGGATTGAAGGAGTGAAGTTTTTGAATATCTTGGAGTATCGACGTGTGTTTGCGTTTGTGTGAA